GGGGGGGGGGGGCTGAGTATTTTTAGCTCGGGGCAAACCGTGGCTCACGGGCGACTCGCCTCGCACGGCTTTTCTTTTGCTCTCGGTTTCGTTTCCGAAAGAGCCGAATGGCTGAACGCACGGAGCCGGATGGGACGGGCGGATGGATGGACACGAACAGGGTCGATTCGCCCTCCATTCATTTCGTATCGGCGATGCTCCAAGAAAAGTTGAAGCAATTTTTAGTTTGGTCTCTGCGTATATTTGACTGGGCTGAGTGCCGTGGCTTTTCCGTGGCCGCCATCTTGCCGACGGTAGGTATCTGAAAGGGGGATGGGGCTGCTAGTCGGCGTCTGCGGTATTTTCCCTTTTTTATTATCTTAACCAAGTAGAGAGAGCGAGAGAGAGAGAGAGAGAGAGAGAGAGAAGAACGTAAGGAGAAAACTGAAAACGTGATTTCCCCGCTACTTCGTATCTTTCTCTCTTTCGTTCCTCGACTTTGATATTTTTCTTTTTCTTTCTCGAGGGTCCTTTACTCTTCAGAGAAAGGAAGGACCAGACGCGAGGTAGGTGGGTACTCGAGGTACACACGGGCATTCAGCATCCTTCATCCTTTCTGGACGAGCTCCTCTTTATTATAACGGAGTGTGCCCCGCGTGCCCTTAGACCTCTGCTTATTGGACTCCGACGGCTAATTAGAAGCAGTGGCCTTCTTGGAAGCCCACGGGATTTTATGGAATCCAGGTAAATTTCATCATTGGCCACTCCACGTTGGTACCATGGTATGGCTGCTTACGGCTTTATCCACGTGCCATTTTTAACGGACGAGCCGTAGAGCCGCAAACGGACGGACGAATAGAACGAAAGAATGGCTGAGCGGGAAATTACTCGAGAGGTTTGTTTTCTTCGGCAGAGAGAGAGAGAGAGAGAGAGAGAGAGTGGCCCAGTACTACTTATATCTTTAATCGGCAAACTGAGAGCGACCAGGAAAATTGAGGAAAAACACAGCGTCCTATAGTACCTGTATATATACCGTTTCTTAAAAAGAAAAAAATACACGTCTCACCTCTACACTCAGTCGGTAGCTCCGTCGTTTCTGGGATTCCTGGGACCTCCCTACCGTACGCTTCTCCTTATCAGTCCTTCGGGAGTTTGTTGATTTAATAAATGCCAGACACTCGCCTCGCGCCCTTCGGCGCTCGGTTCGCATACCGTCCATACCACTCTCGGTCGGTAACAGATGCCTCGAGACGGATCCAATGCTTCGGTGCCTCCTTCTTTTCATACCTCTCTGTATAGGATCATTCCGGAGTTTTAGAATTCTCCTTTGTCAGTCCTTTATAAACTTATTTTCTTCTTCTCCTTTATCTCCACTTGGGCGGTACTCCCTTTGTCTTCTTACTTGGTCTCGATATTTTTTAAAAATTTTCTCACGACCCCACGGCGACACCCGCGCTCAGACTGGGTGAAAGTCATTTCGCATAACCACTTGCCTCTACTACCCCTTGTACGTTTAGAGCCGTGTATCTACGCATCTTTCTCTTTCTTCCTTCTCCCCGCTTCCCTCTCTCTCTCTCTCTCTCTCTCTCTCTGTCCTTGCCCTTACGGAAGCAACCAGTGTCACTCGGTAATTCTTTCTTCCTTCTCCCCGCTTCCCTGACTGGGTGAAAGTCATTTCGCATAACCACTTGCCTCTACTACCCCTTGTACGTTTAGAGCCGTGTATCTACGCATCTTTCTCTTTCTTCCTTCTCCCCGCTTCCCTCTCTCTCTCTCTCTCTCTCTCTCTCTGTCCTTGCCCTTACGGAAGCAACCAGTGTCACTCGGTAATTTCCCGTAAAATTATTCAAATCGCGCCACGAACGCTTTACCTATAGCACGGCTAGGAAGGAAGTCCTCGAATGCTGCGTCTGCCATATTTTTTGGCCCCCCTGCCAAATCCTCCGGGCAAAGCCCCCCCTCCCCGCCCGCCACTGCCAGCCCGATAGTTATTGCCTCTCTCGAGTTGAAATTCAAGGAGGGGTGAGTGCACAAGGGTCACGTGACAGATCACGCGATCTATCAAAGGCTGGACGTTCGCCTCCAGTTAATATTGCGCGTAGCCCGAAGTCTCTTGGACAAACCAAGCCCTTCTGTCCTTTTTCATTTTCTTCCCCTCTCGCTTCGACCCTCCGGAACACCGAGGGTCGTGGTCCAGATGGACGTGGCGCTGGAATGTATTACTCCCCCTCTCCCGACGAAGTACGCTTCGGCCGAGGAAAAATTGTAGCCAAAAACGATCTTCGACGAAATTTCAAAGGGGTGAATTTTAATAATGCTTTTAAAAAAATGGAAATTTACGATTTGATCCGGTAATATGTCGGGCGGAACTACTGGGCCATTTCGGCTATCTCTGGAGTCGTATTCCCATACCTATTGTTCCGGTAGACACTCGAGGGTGGGTTTGGTAGGAGTCAGGCTGGTACTTGGAGCGGCAGCGAATATACAGAGGGGTTGCTGTAGGAATTATCTAGGAATTTAAATTGAAGCTTATCTCGACGTAAATGCTGGTAAGGACCGTGGGGACTCATTTCGGATGCGAGTCTTACGCTGATTGTTTCGTTCGGGACGCGATCGTAAACGAGTCGTTAAATTAAATGGCGCACTTTTGCGTCCCGTCGAGAGCACGGCTGAGTCTTGCGATCGAGGCGCCGCCGTTCTTGGATTTTTCAAGAGTCGAGGGGGGAGGAGCTTGATTGCTTCCAACCGCGGTGAAAAATCCTAGGGTGGGGGGGTGGTCTCTTAAGATTCCTCGAAAATCCTATAGAAATCCGATAGCTTTTCACTGTCCCTGACTTTCTCGCTCTCCGACGATTCCCGCTACCCAATTC